AAAGAAGACTTTGAAGCATTAAGTGAAACGTTAGATCAATGTATTCCGTTAATTAGATTTTTTGATATATCATCATCAGATTATTATGATTTTGTTAGACCATATGATAAGATTCTTCCAGAAGATTTAAATGAAGATATAGTTAAATATCACTTTAAGCCAGGTAGCATTCCACGATCAATAGTTCTTCCACCACGAGATCAAGGAATGAATTTGGATTCATTTATTGTTAAACCGATTCATGCACGACTTATATGTGGATGGATAGATGGAAAAAATATACTTGGACCAACATATGTTAAAGCGGCCTATGATTTTAAATTATTAGTTCGAGGGACACATGATGGGTTTGATGCGACAACATTTCATTCTAGATGTGATCGTAAAGGACCAACAGTAGTTGTATTAAAATTGGAGGGAGTAGATGAGATACTTGGAGGATATAATGCAGCATATTGGAGAACGGGGGCGGTTTACATTCAATCAGATAAGAGTTTTATATTTTCACTGGGAGATGGAAAAAATTTACAAGAGGTTAAATTGAGTAGGGTTCGCGATTCAGCAACATCGATGTATGGGCATACATCATACGGACCACATTTCGGAACAGCAGATTTAAGGATGTACTCGCCTTTTAATATTAAGGAGAATTGTAGTTGTCAACATGCGAGTTATTATAGAACTATTACTGAACATGTTAGATTTGCAGCTGAGGAATATGAAGTTTTTCAAGTTGTTCAGAAACAATAGTTGACATAATTATATGTATGACGTTTTTGTAGATAGGCGTTATAATGCCAGTAATGCATAGGTATTTTTGGTATTATGTACTTTTCTAGCACACATAGCTATTGCGATTTTATATAGAATGATTTTACCTTTACAATTTCAATTTTTTTTTTTTTTAAACGAACAATTCTGATGATTATGAACGAAGTGATGACGAGTAAGCACAAAAGAATTTCGGATAAACATATTTTGCATCAGAGACCTATGAATTTTGTGGTTTGAAGCCATCTTAAGGAATATATATATATTTATATATATAGACTTTTTAAATGCACATGCCTTAGGAACGCCATAAATCACCAAATCTACAGGTCTTTGCTTTGCATATATTACACTTGTTGTGAATACGTATTTATCCGGAATCCACACCAGTTTAAGTTTGTGTAAGAATTTATTAACGCATGTAATGTATAAAATAAATGTAAAGAACAATAATATTACATAAGATTACTGTACCTCTAACATTTAACCCTTAGCGATAACAGCTACTTCAGTAAGCGATGTAAATTTCCTGATTAAAACTTAACAGTTAAATGACTGGCACGTGTTTTTAAATTTGCCTTGGATTCAAATTGTCTTTCTAACCATTTATAGGATACAAGATTTAAATCCATATTATTTTCTTATTGATTTAAACAATTTTTTAGGTTTATTATACCACTTCTTAAAAGTTCGATTAACATGCTTGGTGATAAGTATAGAAGCAGCGTACAAATAATTTAGTAAAATAGATTCTCATGAATTTCCATGTATAGGTAAATCGTAATCATAATCGTTATTGTGCTTTGCAAAAAGATGTGTCCTCTGAGAATCGGAGATAGATTTGTAATCGCTCGAAAATATAAATCTTAGAAATTTTCTTATTAAAAAATCATGTGGCCACATCTTTTCCACATCTTTTTGCAAAGCGTTATAATGTTATCTTTGTGAATACACTATTATCTAGAATGTTTACTTTTAGTTTTGTTTATTTATTTTACCGGACATGAGGACATGATTTGACAATCACACGTGTAAAGGACATTAAATTCCGACGCAAACAAACTTTGAAATGGTGATGTAAGTTTGTGACATGCTGATACTCGAAGCATCATTATGCTGAGACGTCAAAAATCTGACGTCAAATAAGAAAGACAAATATTCCGTACTTTTATTTTTTCTTATCGACTAAATAACGGAATTAAAACATATTTTAAAGGACATATACAAGTCACTCTCGTTATAGTGAACTCTCGATATAGTGAAGTTAAGCTCAAGGCCAGTTTATATAAAATTCTCTCGATATAGTGAATTTACTAATAAAATTATTAATGGAACGGGTCACTTCATTATAACGAGAGTGAATTGTATCCGTCAAAGAAGCAACGTTAAAACACAATGTTAGTATCTTACGGGAATTGTAATATTGTTGTAAAATTCGTTTGAACGAAAGTAAATGATTACATATAATAACAAGCAATTAGAGTATTACTATTTTCTGCTTCAATTATATTCAACTATATATGAGTGGTTCCAAAGGAAAACCAGACGTTGGCTTTTAAACTTGACTTATCGTACTTAATCCTTAAAAAATCTAAAGAATTGAATCAGCATCTCAAACTCAAATTTCAATTTGACACAGCATAGTTTTAATTCACACTAACGTAAGCGCCAAGATCATAAGTTTAAATTATTGCCAATATTATATATATAATTTAGTCTAATAGAAATTTTCATAATAAACTCACTTGAAAATTCATATAATAGTTGTGTAGCGCAGATTACGTAAATGTTATTCTAAAGGGGTTTTATCGTTTATACGAAAATTTTTGAGGGAAATGTAAAGTACGAAGTCATTCAAATTATAATATGTAAAATTTCTGATAGATGCAATTAAGTAAAATTTTAATTTTTGATACACTAAATTCTGATTGATTAAAAAGTAATAGATTATTAACATAAATGACAATCTAAGTATTCTAAGTAATAAAATGACCCAATGATTAGTTAGTCATTTATCATTTGGGCCATTTAAGGTCATCTGTGCAAGCCCTATCTATATTGCTGCTGTGAAGACATATCAGATTTTGAAATTTTACGTGTATGTTCCCTAAATTTTCGTGGGATCTGTGTAATTTGATAAAACTAAAAAGAATTTTCTATCCATCTACTTTTATCTTTATAACACTTCTCGTTATCATCAGCATCACATTTCTTCAAATCACAGCTGCTGAACTTTCCATAGACTCAGTCTTCCTTTTGACATTAAGGATAAAAATTCATCCCGATTATCCAACACCAGCATTACAATAATGTGTGTTATGACTGTTTATCATTCTACGACACGTGCTTCTAATTACACGCTAAGCATCCTTCAATTAGCGTTATGATAGTGGTATAATGATAATTGGCGAAACGTTAAATCGTAGCGTTTGGTTATGTATTTGTCTTAAATTTATTTGATTAATTGTGCCTTAGTCGTATTAAAGATGAATTTTACTACATTTTTTTCAATAAAGTTTTTTTCAGCAATATTTGTATAGTACATACATACCAACATAACCATTACATACCTGAATTAGTGGTTGCTGACAAAACCAGTGATTTTATTTGACCTGAACGGTCGGTTTTTCGATATTGGGAATTGTCATAACTAGTGTTGTCCTAAACAGCTTTGTGCATATTTATCAAATAAATAAATTTGAAGTTACTAGATTTTTAAATCACCTATTTTAATTTTTTACGTAAAATATTCAAAATCAAATACATAATCATATATTTTTTATAAATTTATTAAGAAGTTTTAACATACCAGCAGTGACATCAAAATGTACAACGTTGGTTATAAGTACATATTTATGAGTATATTCAATCAGTTAAATTAATTCAATAAAACTATCAGCTTGGTTATTCTTAAATTCAACAATCTAAAATACCATAATAAGATTATGCAGAGGGTAGATTCTAAAATTCATACATTAAAGTATAACATAATTTTATGAATTTATTTTAAGATTTATCTTTTCACTATGTTCTTTAATTAATTTATTGTGATTAACTTGAATGTTTTCATTCTTCTGGAATTTCCATAATATCCATCGGAATACTAACATTGGCCATTTTTGATAATGATTTCGTGATCTCTAGCGTGTTAATGGGCTTTGATGTGTCCTTATTATGATCTTGATATTTTTGTACGATGCTTGGTGATCTTATATCCATCTTATCAACTTCTAAGGATTGCTTATCAGCTTCTAAGAATTGCCTTTTAATTATTCCTTGCACAAGTTCTTCGATCCAAGTAGTAA